TATTGTGAGTTACTATGTCCCATAAACAATCCTGGAAGGAGGCTGCACCAGAGGATAAATTGATATAGATCTCTTTGCTCTCACAGACAGTGTTACAATATTTTCTGCTGAATGAGAAAATGTTTAAAGGCATAAATCAAGATAAAGCAATCATCTGACAAAGAGTTACAAAGAGGTCCCATACCTTTTTCTTAGTGAATGCTGTGACACATTGATTTTCTACTGAAGATGAAAGCCAAAATCATGCGTCATCAATATCAGCTAGCAAAACTATTTGGTTCAATGTTTTATACTGTTAAAAAAAAAATTACGGAGAAAAGGCAAATCTGAAGTGTTTCACATGATCAAAACAAGTTTGGATCAGCAGAGGAAAACACATTTGAAAGACATTTCATACAGTTTATTTCTAGCGACTAAACAATATATCAGAAGGGAATAAACTGTTACTTTTGTTTGTCCAGCCAGATATAGAGCTACTGTCTGGATAAGAAGATTATCTGGGTGCTACTTAAAAGTAGAGTTTTGCTCAACTGGCGTGGCTCAGTGGTAAAGCATTGACCTATGAACCAGGAGGTCAAGGTTCAATTCCCGGTCAGGGCACATGCAGGCTGATTCCCAGCAGAGGACATGCAGGAGGCAGCCCATCCATGATTCTCTCTCATCATTGATGTTTCTATCTCTCTCTCTCTGTCCCCTCCTCTCTCTGAAATCAATAAAAACACTTAAAAAAAAAAAAAAAGTATAGTGTTTAACAAAATAATCCAGCATGGGTAATCTAATACACTTCATACGGTAGTTTCACAGAAGTATAGTTAAAATCTTCCTTATAAAGAAGAGGCCAGCAGGGAGCTGTTAGCATACCCAGCATTTCCATGTGAATTCCAAAATGGCAAATAAATCCCACACCTGAGACCTCACCCCCACTCAGAGCCCCTCGGCTGACAGCCTCACTGTGGCAAATCTGCAAAATCAGGCATGGAAACCCCCTCACTACATGTTCCCACCCCATTCTCCCAGAGCTAGCCAGAGGGCAGGGTCCAGTGATTTGGAAATATCTACGAGAAGGTCCAAATGGCTTGTATAAGCAGTACCAGGGAAAAAAAGAAACAAACAAACAGAAACATAATTACACAAAGTTTCAAAACAGGGCATAAACTATGAAGAGATGAGGGGCATACTGGAATTAAAGCATTCGTTTACACTTAATAATTTCCTAACCCTTTTTTTAAACACCCAATTGGCAGTTTTTAAAAATCCATGACCACAATCCTAATCTTTCTTTCTTTGTCCTTCATTTTTTGTTGTTTTTTCCCCACATGGATTATAGAGATATTTGAATATTACCATAGTATATATTACTTTTTATGATTTTGTAATGTTCAATGACCCATAAAACATGTATTAAATTTCTATTATTAATAATAATGCAGGGGTGCGCAGAAGTAGGTTTACAGTTATAATACAAATAATACAATAATTAATAAATAATATTACAAGAATAAACTCTGGTTCATGTACTCACAAATGTAAACCTACTTTTGCCTACCCTTGTGTATATAAAGAATATTTCCAATGCTTAATGGTCCATAATTATATGTTACTGTAATTTTGGAAGGTCAAAATATTAGATAAAATTTAGTATTACAGAAAATTTAGTATTACAGACTTCTGTAATACTAAATTTAGTATTAACAAGCAAAGTAGAATTTAAATAATAGATTCATTAAAACTTAAACTGGTTGCTGTTACATACACTCTAGTAATAAGCACCTAACCTTTACTCCCCCCTTCTCTAGTCACCCTTTCTCCAGCCTGGAAACCAACTTCATCTCTTTGTATCAGGATTGGATGAAGTGTGGACACAATGAGCTGTGCCTATATTTGAATTTGGCTGAAGAAGATAGTGTTGAGAAACTTAAGATTGTGAAAGATTTATTGTGCTGTTCAGCAAGCAACAAACCTGTAAGTGCCGCTAGCAGGCTGCAAGCCAGTCACCCAGACCTTTTCAGCGCAAACTCTAGCAACTATACACACGCTGGAGAAAAATGTTTTATGAGGCTGCACATGTAATTTCGACTTTTAGCATTTCTGTACATAATTTAATGGAAAATGGGCTCAACTTAACATTATTAAATATGGCCCTGTTTTATTGACAACATAACTTGAGAAACATTTTTCCCTAGGAGAACTGAAATACGACGCACCATTTAGGATGCCAATTATGATCCTGAATAAGATTTTTAAGTCTTTCACCACAAAGTCCAACGGGGAAAAAAATCTCCTTTTCTTTATACCCAAGGATAGTACCCTAACACAACAGAGTTCTTTCAGAGGGAGTCAGAAAGTTATATGGTACTAAAAGGCCTAGCTAAACAAGATTTTCTTTGAAAGCACATGTCCCCTCCCCACGCCTACCTCATCCTTAAAAATATATATTTTAGAAAATGCAGTCATGTTGGAAAAAAGTGAGCTGAAGATTGTAAGGCCTGGTTCCTGTAATGCCCAAAAATTAACGACTTGCATCAAACTAGGCTTCTGTAGCACTTCTATCAGTGCCTACGGTCCATACAAGTACATGCCAAGAAACTCGGTCCTCCAAGGGAAAAAGCAGAAGAGAGAGAGATTTCAATTTTGGATAAGAAACCATTTCTGCTAGTATGTCCAGAGGTAGGGTGGGAAACCCCATGAAGTAATAAAATCTTAACACTGGAGGTTTGAGAGTATACCTGGCTCCCAAAACTTGGTGAGGAACTGCTTGAACTAATTTTAATGTTAAATAATTTTAATTCTATTCAAATGTCATAATCCTGATACCATATTTGTGGTGCATCACCAATAAAACAGGCAGCCGAAAACACCAGGTAACAGGTACTTATGTAAAATGGTTCTTGTTCGTTACGTAGCTACACCCTCATTTTAAGTATAAGTAAAAATGTGACAAGTAGGTAAAACCAGATATGATAATCTCATTTGTGTTCTCCTTTGTTAGAAATTGCCCTTTCAGAAGGTCAAGAGTATGCTCAGTATTATGAGTTGAAACCTCTTTAAAAGCTATGATTCAACGTTTTCTTCAAAATAGATGTGACAAAGTGACTCTTCTCTTATATTCATTCAATAGCCTCCAGAATTGAACATGGGTCACAGACCTTCCCTGTGGACATGTCAATGTGCCCCTCCACCAAGATTGTTCTATAAAGACTTGTTTTGCTGTATTGATTTTTCATGGAAATTTTGTGCTGACTTAGGAGAAAGAGAGGTGCCTCCTATCCAAAAAGCATGCTGGAAAAAGGAATCAGCAGTGAGTTCTAAGAAATTATAAATAACTTTTTAAAAAATGAAGCAAGTCTTATTAAGCATGTTAGATAAACCAGCTTAGATAAAGCAATAAGAAATCTTCAAAAGGAAGAGATAAATAGACTGTCTAGCATTTAAACTTTTGAGCATGCCAACCCAAGAGCAATCTAGGATGGCAAGTGTAGTAATCTGTATTAGATCGAGATTTTAAGGATAGAGTTAGATAGAGCACCACACTGGGGTATTGTCCTGGGATAAACGGAACACTGCTTGTCATATAGGAATACATTCCACATTATTAGTATGTAGGATCACTAATTTCGATACCATCTCACCCTCAGATCCACACTTACAATAATATACCAGTTGAAATGCAAAATATCCAAGAAAATATCTTTGGGGAAAGAAAACATTATTTTGACATACTATATCATGTCCATATATAAACCATTTCTCTGCAGTATCCTATATGATTTCATTAAGGCCAGTGTACCATTTAATAATACAGTATAGAATATTATTGGTAATAAAATAGTAAATAATGCTATAATTAGTATACATGAACAGCACTGCAGCCACCAAACACATTCCAAGAAGTGTTGCGATCTCCAGAAATGATATCTAAATGCCATCCCTTTCCTTCAAAGGTTGCTATGCCATACTTTCTTCTACACCATGAAAAATCTGGAAATGCCCTCTAAAATATATCTAGAAAAAGTGTGGGGGAAAATAGATACAATTTTACAGAATTCATATATTTTGAAAATTAGCCACATATTTTTCTGAGTTTTTTCCTCATATCTATAAAGTTGACAAAAGAGAGCTCTGACTTATTCACTTCAGGGAATTGCTGAGAGATCACACAGAGAGTATATGTAAAAGTCATTTACAAATGTCATATGTGAAAGCCACATAAGTATTTGAACTTGCTTGTCATAAATTTGACTTTTTAGGAGAAGGCAGGGGAGATTTCGTCTAAACAACATTCCACCTGGACTAAGGAGACCTAGACTCAAGCTTTAGCTCTGCCCAGAGCAGCTGCGTGATTTTCCAACAAAGATGCGCTCTTCCCGGATTGCCAGCGCTTCCCTATAAAACGTGAAGTATTCAGATGAACTATTCAAACTATCACAATTAAGAGTCTGAGCTTTTTTCAGTATACCAGAGATGGTGCCCAACTCTTTTTTCCCTCCAGAAGTTTTTAGTAGAACAAGAACTTAAAGTCGAAGGACCCTGCACCTGCTTCCAATGCCATGTGTCCATCTTTAAAGATTTTAATCACACGTTATTGGGAGTAGTCAAGGAGAAAAGCAACTTAACAAGCTTGGGGACAGCCTTAATTAAATGATAAATGTGTATCAAAGTAACTTGGATAAGTTCTACTTGCTTTAAATTTAAAAATTTTCTGCCCAGCCGGGCGTGGCTCAGCGGTTGAGCATCGACCTAGGATCCAGGAGATCAGGGTTCGATTCCCGGTCAGGGCACATGCCCGGGTTGCGGGCTCGATCCCCAGTCGGGGGCGTGCGGGAGGCAGCCGATCAATGACTCTCTCATCATTGATGTTTCTGTCTCTCTCCCTCTCCCTTCCTCTCTCTGAAATCAATAAAAGATATATTAAAAATAAATAAATAAAATTAAAAAATTTTCCTATTCCTTAAACATTATGATGCATTTCCAATACACATTATGCAGCCCATTATCCATACCTGAAAAGGCTGGCTGCTGGAAATGTCCAGGTGTTTCTTTATCCATCTGTTGCCTTGGTTCCCAAATATCTGCCACAGCAGCTTGCCCCTTGCGTTACTCCAGACTCGCTGGTAGACGGCCAGCCTGTAAATGTGCTTTCCGAACATGTGGAAATGGAAGCGGAAGGTGCAGCTTTCTGTGCCAGTGGCCCTGAGGATCGGGCTGAGCAAAGCAGCTGTGTTTTGGAAAACCTGTGGCTCCGAAGATTCGATGTAGAGATAGTGTCCTTTAGCTGTGCCCAAAGTATGATCCTTCATTGGCCCTGTATTAAGTGTTGAAGTTGGACCCTGGTTCCTGGTCCAATCGAAATCATCTTCTGTATCTTGTTCCCAGTTACAAATTCCATTTTCAAAGTTACATTGTAGTTCAGGTGCTGAAATTGGCATTAAATAACAGCAAAAGAATATTAAAGACAAAAACAACTCTGATGAAGAATACTAGTTGATATGTCACTCCTGCCAAAGTAAGCAATTTTAATCTAAAAAAAAATTGCAACAGTAAAGTTTTAAGAAGAGTGAAAAATCCTATATAATACATCAAGTAATAATATTGTATGGACTGGAAGTAGAATTATTTTGGCCATTGTTTCCAAATGCCCTCTATGCCCATCCCTTCTCCATTTCTATTACCAAATCTCGGCAAATGATCACAACCCAACAGCTGGCTCACTGCAACAAACTTCTGGCTCAATGGACTTTAAACTTAGCTGAATGTCCCAATCCAGTGACCATTAATATATATACACACAAAAACACCAAAGCCCAAAATTCATCTCTAAGAATGTTGACATAATGGTCCAAATGATATAGCCAATCATCAGGATATCTTATCAGCTCTCTTGGTGATTCTAACATGCGGAGCTGAGAAGAGTCATCTTCTAACAGGTGCCAGTCTTTTGGAATCATTTGGGGCACATGGTAAAATTGCTTACATGGTGAAGCCTACCCAAGTACTATTCTGTTAGATTCGGGATGAAGCCCAGGAATCCACATTTTTAACACGTACCCAAGATGACTATAAAGAAGATATTTTCCAGACCCCACTCAGAGAAACCCCTTTCTTGGGCTCCATCCTGCCCCAGTTCCAGGTGTCCCTTCCACACCTGTGCCAGAATGACCACCCTTAAATGACAGGTTGTCATTTTCCTGCTCCATTCAAAATCCGTGAATGTGTACTCACTCAACCTAAACTTAAATCTACACTCCTCTTTCAAGCTTCACATTTTCCAAATTAAATTAACTTCCTGTTTGCCCTTCCCTTTAGCAAGCCCCATCCTCCCAACAGGCCCTTAGCATTCCACCCCTCCCCCATCTCTATTGATACCCAATGTTACGTGGTGTGTCTTGCTGATGCTTAGCTGTGTCTCCTTAGTGGTCACCTTTTCTACTGGCTGGACTGAATCTCCTTTAAACGGGAGCTTTTAAACTTCTAATGCCTCAGTCACTAGAAGATTCAAAGCACTTATAAAGCACTAGGCCCTTATCAATGAAATGCTCTACCTACATCTCTAGGATAACCTAAGAACATATTCATTTTTCAAGATGAGAAAATTTTGTCAACACCAAGTATCAGTTTAGAATAAATGAGACAGAACGTACATTTGCATTATTTGGGCAGAAGGGACTGGATTTAGAACTAATGACTAATTCCACATTTTAGCTTCATTTACGCAATTCAATACTTATAAAAAATAAATGTCAGCTGTCCTTTATTCATCTTGGTATAACTGTACTTGGCATCAAAGTGAACAAATACTCAGACAGTAAGCAAAAGTGCACGTGAATAAATACAGCCAGGTAAGAACAGACCATCTGTGCCTAAAAACTGGAGAACAGGAGCTTACACCTAACGAAGGGAACTGAATGAGGAACTGTCAAGTGAAAGCTCCTCTGCCGTTTGATATTTACTCACTGGGGACTAATCCAGTCCAGTTGTGACAGGAACTGGGGACCCAGGGCGTGCTCTCCAGGTGTCAGTCCTTGGCCGGAGAGCAAGAGAATGTCAAGCTGCTGAGTTTTTTGACCTAATGCCAACAGATTTATATACTGCCTGTCTTCATATTGACTACATGCTCAGTCTTCATTTCAAAAGGGAATATGTGTAGCTCAGCCCTTAAAAAAGACCATGACCCTAAACATACTGCAGGAAATACAGCGAGGATTTAGAATGTCTAATGTATTCCATGTAATAAAGTGATATGTCTAGATGGAAAGCTATGAGCAACGGACAGTCTAATGCCACTACTATTTTCTGTCCTTAATATTTAGTCACAAGAAGAATATTGATATTATAGTTGTACTGCCATAATTCCATTTTATGAAGTTAATACTGACAAGTTTGAAGATAATTTGCTTATTTTTAGCAATAGATCAAGATTTTTTTTAATGCTTACCTGAGGATATGTTCTCATTGATTTTTAGAGAGAGGGAGGGAGAGAGAGAAACATCGATTGGTTGCCTTCTGTATAAGTCCCAACCAGGGATCAAATCTACAACCTAGGTATGTGCCCTGACTGGGAATTGAACCCATAATCTTTTGGTGTATGAGACAGCACTCCAACCAACTGAGCCACCCAGCCAGGACAATAGATGAACGCTTTTTTTAAAGAATAGAATTGGAAAGCTTGAAAAAGATTAAAAAAATACTTTCTGAATTTGCAAAAAATAAATTAGATGTAGGACAAGCAACACTTCTTATAATAGCCATTGTCGAAATCATCAATTTTGTTTATATCCATATACTCACACATTAGTTGTGTAATGAAATTTCTGACAATATCAAAGATTACATATATGCAAAATTCTCTACAGCGATTTGTATGGAAATTTCCTAGTATGTTTCCTACCACGTGCCTAACATTTTATGGCTTTATTTTGGTTTATAATTGGCCTCCCAACTTAACAGACACATAGTTTAAATTTTAAGTATTGTTGCTATTTCTGCGAAAGGAAAGATACAAACTTTTTCCTGGCAGATTTTTGTAATTAAAAGATAAAACCACAACTCTGAGTTTCTGATTCATATTCAGGAGCAGGTGCATCAGGTACTAGCTGGAGCTAAGCTTATTAAATTTCAAGAGCTACGCAATCATCAGATATACACATTTTTTGGTAATTTAAACCACAAACTCAGACTTATCTTTGACACCTTACTCTGTGCTCACTAAAGCCAAAACATCATCAAATGTCCCTCCTCAAATTTTCCCAATAGTCCCTCCATTTCCATCCTTACCATTGTGACAAGCTGCCAACTCCTCTCCTGCTGACCACTGCAATGGATTCCTAATGGGTCAACCGAATCCCGTCTTCTCTAATCCACTCATAACACACCATACCCGTAGTGACATTTCCAAATATGCCAATTTTATTGTATTAGCCTCCTTCTTAAAAACCTTCAAATGAGGAACAGCTTCCTTAATATGGACTAAAAAGAGCCGCGAATCTGGCCTCCCTTTATATCTCCCTCCTTCCATTGCACCCTACTCTCCTCTCTCCTTGCACCAGCCACATATTAGCTGTCTTCCATCTGCCATGCAGTCACATACTGCAGCTTTTTCATGTATGCTTGGATTTACTATTTTTCAGATTTCAGCTAAGTCAATACCTCTAGGAAGTCCAATGCCGCTATTACGTCATATAACATCACTCCTATTTGTAAGTCTTGTCAAAGCTTCCATTTTATATTTATTTATTATATATTTGAATAATATCTCTCCTCAATTAAGCTTTAAGCTCCATGAAGGCAGGGACTCTGTGTAGCTATATTTAACATTGTATCCCTAGTATTTAGTTTATAAATCTACATAATAAATACTGATGGCTTGACTAACTAATTGAATTGCACAAAATATTGATCAACCCTGGGACAGTGCTTAGTGTCTTTGGCTTGACTGGCTAGAAAACAGTACATTTAAGTAAGATCACCACTACCAAGTGAGCAAGAGGAGGAAAAATATACTTACCACAGTCAACCTCATCAGTATGATCACCACAATCATCCACCAGGTCACACAGCTGAAGCTTTTCTATGCAAGCCTTTGTGTGTTCACACCAGAAATGATCTGGCCCCTCACAGTTCTCCGCAGGGAGGGGAAGGGTACAGTTTTCAAAACTGATGTCATCAATAGCTGAGACCCCGTCATAAATGCCAAGACTGACTTTTTCTAGTGACAAATGGAAGGGACGAGTGAGGCGCCCAAGCTGAATGGTTGCCTGCGACCACTGGTTGCCCTGGTTATATAACACTCTCCAGAGCACTGTGGAGTCATTGGATTTTTCCACATGGAGCTGGAGCACAGCTGCTCCAACTGACAGGCCATAGTTATAAAACCTGGAAAAGAGTAAACAAAAGAAATAGATATGATTTATGGGATAGACTACACATTTAACTGTTACACTCTTTCACTTAATGTAATAATAATTAATAATTAGTTATCATAAAGGGCGCTTTTATTTCTTACAGTAACCGTAGCTGCATGTTTGCAAAGCTTATCTACAAGGTGCATACTCTGACTCTCAGGACCCTAGGGGCATTTCTCAGGGAGTTCAGTCCAGAACAGAGGAAGCAGTGTTAATTAAATTACAGTCTGTTGCTGGAGGGAAAGAATCCCTTTCATCTTCAGAAAGAACACAACAAACACTGATAATGAGCTCTTAAGTAAAATGTTAATTGTGTGGATCTAACGCAATAGCGATTTTTAAAGCAAAACCAGGGGCAAGTCATAATGCCTACTAAGTGCAGGTGTATGCCCACAACCACTGGGCTGCTAGGGTAATTGACCATTGTTCTTAGTATTTACCAGAAAGAAAGTGTGCATCCTGTTCCTGTCTGGCTGATAGTCGGGCTCTGGAGTTTAGCAACTTGTGCCAAGCTGCTGCTTTTCTTCAGAATGAACATGAAATGCCCTATTGGTATACAAAAACAAGTCATAAGTTAACGTATTAGATTATAAAGTAAGACATCTTTCTCTTAACCCTACACTAAATAACTCCCATGTCCAACAAAAATTAAGACCATACAACAATTAAAAATCAATAAAAGTGATTTTTAGTCAAACTTGCTCTTATAAATATTAAACTATGATCTATACCAAGGTCTAAATGATGACAAAAACAGTTGGTAATTTCAGTTATTCAGCCAAAAATATGTCTATACCCATTATCTCCACCATCCATAAAGGAATAATTCCATGTAGACAACATTAGTGTAACTGATAATGCTCAGCTGCCCTACTATGTGCTGTGGTAACACAGGATGTTATCTGTTTCTCTTTCTCTTCCCAGACATGACCAAAGGTAAACTGAAGTAATTACTAAGAGCCTCTGCTTATGTCTTACCTTGAGCAGTATTTTGAGTATGATCATGGGGCGGGGCCTGTTGCTCAAAACCAGCTGAAAGGCTACTTCTCGAGCCCCACATCCAGTCAAAATGGTCCCCACTGATTGCTTCAAACCAACCACAGCTGTTTGCTTCAAAGTCACATTTGGAAGCTGAAGAACAGAAACGTTGCCTTTAGCTGGGCTCTCCAAAACATTCACACGCTTCACAAAGGGCAGAGTTCAGTGGAAATCACCTTGTCAGGCTGCTCAAGAACATCAAAGAACATACTTGAGGGGGGTGAAAGGGGGTATCCTCTGATCCGAAAAAACCTGGAGTTGTGTTTATCATACTAGAAATGGGTAAGGCAGAATTACCAATTTTAAAAATTCAATTATTTTCCAAATATTCTAAGCAGCAGCAGCATCTGACCAGATTGTTTACAGGTTGGCCAAGGTCGGCCTAATTTATTCTGATACTCGTGTTAGTTTACCTGCTTCTATTATATGACCTGGAAGGTTGAATTATCCCCACGGAGTATTTTACACTAAACCATGGAAGCTGCTATTCCAAAAAAATTAGTATTTGAAAAATGTAGATACATTACATTTAATTAACATTCACCTCCGGTTTTTATAGAACTTAGTATTTCCTAAAGCATTGTATGCATTGCTTAATTTGTGCAGGGCAGAATAATTTGATCCAGTTTCCAGGTAAATATGCAGAAAAATCAGCTAAGTCCCAGGAAGAAGAGCAGAGGAAGAAGCGAAAAGGAAAGAAAGGGGGTTTATAATAACAGCAGTACAGCACTACAGCCGATGTTCAGTGAGTGCCTGTACCACTGAGCGCTTGATCTAGATCTAACATTCACATTAGCCCTAGGAGAAGGTGCTATTATTATTGTTGTTGTTGTTGTTGTTATTGTTGTTATCATTATTCTAAGGAAGAAAGGGAGGTTTAGGAAAGCTCTTAACTTAACCAAAGTCATGTAGTCAGGGAGTTGTAGAGAGGGATTGGAATCCAAATATTCTGGCTCCTAGTCTAACATCCTTCTGCAACTCTTGACAATAACTCTTAAATATCATTAGACTGAAAAAAATAATAATAATAAGCCAAAAAGGAATCATCTAAATTTGCGTAGTGTGGATGTTCAGCTGTTACTATATATCCCAATGCAAAATGAGGCTCACTGCCACGAATGATTATTACATTGGAATCCTTGCTCACTGGCCATTTTTATCCAAAGATATAATGATAAATTACATAGATTTTCCCTTGTGAGAGAACTTAGGACATAAGCAGTAAGTTTAGGGGATAACAGTATACAGTAAATCACTCAGTGAGATTACAAAATTTAAAACCGTAAAGGCATTTTAACCTAATTATAAATCATTTTCATTGTTGGAAATGTTACTTCTACTCACGGAGGACTATGAGGTGAATAGTAATATTACAAATACTTTCTTATTTGTAATAGTTTCTATATAATATCTGATTTCCAAAATATATTTGTTTTCTGGCTAGTTTCCTACTGGGAAATATGTCTAGCATGGTACTTTTAAATTTCATCAAAAGTCAATGGGAGAGGGTACTTTGTAAATTTTATGATTGTGTCACCATTATGTGTACACCTGTAACTAATACAAAGTAATATGGAATGTAAACTTTAACTGAAAAAGAAAGTCAATGGGAATGCATGGATACATTTAAAAATAAATACTTTAAAAATGTTGCATCAACTTTAATAAGCAAGGGATGATGATACTTCCATATACATATAGAGACAATTAGAAATCAGCAAAATGAAGACAGTACTGCTATTTTTAGAATACAAATTTCTCAAGTAAAGTTTAGAAATCTATGGTGAAGCAAAATGAAGTGCCACTAGAAGTGAAAAATAATGATAAATATATCAAGTTAAGAATAAGTGCTAAGGATATTTAAGTTCGCTATTTTAAAATTTATCTTTATTGTTGAAAATATTACAGATGTCGTCTTTTTTCCCCATTGACCCCTTCCACCCCATACCCACTC